CAAACCCTTCAGGGACTTCAAGGAGGCGGCGAATGACACCTCGGAACAAATAGTTCAGGAAGTGGGGTCAGGTATTGGGCCACGAACGAACCAGTAACGTTCCCAAATTTAGCCTGAGAGAACGAAGCCAGCACAGAGAACTGCACAGCGCGCAAGAGTCCATGAAGCGATGAAGCATTACTTCAAACCCACACCTTTCCCCATAGCGGCAGGACATGCAAGCCTGAGAGACAGAAACATTGACGGCCCTTCGAGGGTCTGGGTGGTGCTGTGAATATGATAGGATACTCATTGTAGTACATGTATACACATGGATGGTTAGTAACTACGGTTAGTACTAGTATCACCTCTTGGCATCCTCAGTTCTGTGAGGTTGAGCTGCGAACCGAACCATTGAGGAGCGTCTTCAGGAAGTGGTCAATTTCCTGACAGACAAGGGTGATGTGCACCAGGAGTAGAGGACAAGATGGCAGAGTGAGCTGAAAATGAGAAGGCCCTCAGGAGCCCTCCCCCAGAGTCACAGCACTCCCTGATGAAGTCGGCTGCTCTCAAAGACCGGTCCCTCAAAAACCATGAAGAGGCACGGCTTGCAGGCACGCATCGCACGAGTCACATACATGAGGAGCTCTGGTAACATGTGAAGGGAACCTTGGAAAGGAGCGCTGCCGGGGGCCCACAATCATTTTTCAGTCGCTGGAATGTTCCTTCCCTGAACCTGAAGGAGCGCCAGGAGAATTACGGAAGCAGATCACTGATGTAACAGGTACACCCCCTCTGCAATGAGGTTGCTAGCGATCCCGGCATTACAGTTCTAAGGACAAGGTTTGGTGGAGTAAGGATTCCTGCAGGACTGCGCCTCTGGAGCCGGAATGCCCGTTGAGGCATACACGGCAGCAGCATCCACGGAACCTGCGTGACCTGTAGCCCAGGAAGCAAAGGAATTCGAAACATAAGCTTTAAGGCTGTACAGCTTCACATAGGAACCCGGAACATGGTTTGGTTACAATCTCGTATAGCTGTTCGCGCAGAGAAGACTTCTGATGGTTTCAGCTTCTTGAAGCGTACGCTCAGCCCAAGGGCTCTACCAAGACCACATCGCAAACTCTTTGCCAAATCTAGTTAAGGCCCAACTTCTGGACGGGCCCCACTGTGGGCCCAGAATTGAATGTCACAACTGATGTTATCCTCATCACAATATCACTACTCATCTAATGAAGGTTACCAGTACTTTTCTCGGCATTTGTTGTAATAGCAGCGGTGGTCGTACCAGCAGTTCCACTTGCTGAGAGAGCAGCCCATGGATGTTGTCTGGAAGACGTTGAGAACCTTTCGCATGTCGCCAGACGCAACCTGGTCGGGGTCTCACAAAGATGTCCCTTTTGGCTTCTGCACACTGGCTCTGGCGGCACAAAGCTGTTCTCATTGTAAAAGTAGCTAGGATATCTGAAGTCTAAAGCCAGTGAAGGATGAGAGGGTGTCAAATAGATATTTCAAGAAAGTGCCTACTCCTCAATTCTTCCATCCCCTCGCCTTGAAGAATCATGTCGCCCTCATCAAACAAAAGCATGTGCCGCTCGGAACAAATCTATCCAGCCAGGAATGGAGGGGTGTCATTGTCTGGTATGCTAAAGAGTAGACACTCTATGCTGGGAAGGGCGAGAAGGTGCCGAGCGTGGCGTTTCCTGTGGGAAGTACGGGTAACTTCCCAGAATTGTTGAGAGTAAAGGACCACTCCTAGAGAGTCTGGGGTTCTGTGTAACTTCGAAGACGCCAGGGTCTTACAACTCCTGCATGACCATTCAGCGCCTTCACAATTGCCTGCGCGCCATCCTTCGTGAGCTGGACTTTCTCGCACTGCGCGGAGGCAAGGCAATTGGAGCGGGCTTGCTGTAGGCTTTGGGGGCCGGGGTCTTCATTGCTGGCAGCAAGCATCATGAGTTGCATCGAAGAGCCTCGCAAGTGTGAAGAAGTGACAGGAGCGACAACAAGGCTGACACAAATCATACCAAGAGACATAACACCGTTCTAGCAATAACAAGGCATTGTATGCTACGAGCTCAGAGGCCGGGCGCAATGCTCATGCCTGCGCAACGTGCTCAAGCCTGCCCAAGATTTGATCCTTGCAGGTCAGCGGTCCACAAAAACAAACAAGTGCAACCAGAGCAACCGACATCATGAACATGATAAACAAACAACATGAACAACGCAGTCATCACCCTTTGCCATAGGCACACTGGGAAGGACTAAGCGCGGCTGAGAACTTCTCTCTACGTTATATGGGCTGGTGGAAGGCCCACTCTGCACCCTAAACTCTACACCCACAACACTATGAACTTTACACCCACAACTCGCGCGTTCCAGTGTGGACGTCTGAAAAATCGTGAGCTGCTGATAGTGTCCCCATGAACAGTATGATGTATCAATTGTCACAAAACCCTGTTGGAACTATGTATATCCCTACTCCCCAAACCCTCAGCTCTATTCCAATTTCTCAGGCCCCACATGCAACGCGTACATCTTACCACTTTTCATGCCCTTTCCATTTCATTTCTGCAGTATTTTAGTTGGTATCGGTTATGGTGCTCAACAAGCTATTCAAGCCCGAAGCCCCCAACCCTACACCTTATTCCAAACATTTCGCACCCCTCCGTTGCAATTAGCTGGTCCTCGGAGAGCGGTGCAAAGCGCAGCTTGGTGCAACGGGACCTACAGTTGTACCATCTGCTCCAGGGATCTGCAGGGTTTTCGGGGTTGGGGATTCTGCGTTTTGCTTGTTCAAGGTTTAGGGTTTAACGTTCAGAGTCTTCGGGTGAGGGTTGCGCCTGTGTGGGATAGGATTTTACTATTGGTTTGGTGAGCATGTAAATGAGATTCTGTAAAGAAGATTTGGTGGGTGTGCACACTGGGATGGCCTGTTGATCACAGTCCCTATCCACTTACCACATGAGCATTGGTCTTCCCGGCAATATTCCCGTAAGATAGTGATAGCAAAAAGAACCATGCTGCCGACTACACATGGGGTAGAGCTTCCACGCTTGTTACGTCACATGCACTCAAACTTGGCATTGAACGGGAGATCCATCCATACTTGCCCAAGCATGCCGCAAGCTGGCACTGTGTTTCACCTATTTCCACTTGAGCACTACAGGCTTGCATTCCTAGGATCCTATCCAAGGTTTGGACTGCAGAGCCGGAATAATCTTGCTGCTGTAGTTGCAGATCAAGATGAATCGGCAGTTGGAGGCGTACCTGGGACTACATGCCAGGCTCGTCGGATTGCTTTGTAAAAAGAGTCTCCTTAAAGCCGCTGGGGAACAGGGATGACCCTTCTGTAACCATGCCTATGATGAATGATTCCGGGTTCATGACGGAGAATGTGCATGCAGCACGCAGCATGTTTTCAACTTTTGGCTGCTTCTTCCTCTCCAAGTCAGTCTGCACTCAGAATGAACGACCTGCCACGCCCACCAAGTGTACCTGTCGACCCCATCCCAACCAAGAAGCCAAAGTGATGTAGGTGTAGCAACTGTAGGCAGCTCTTGCCACGTAGGGAGTAACAGGACAGCGGCAATGATGATAGAATGTGATAGAAAAAACGGGGCAATCCATCTACATGTCTTTGCCTTGCCATGAATCAATGCGCAGGCGCTGGAGCAAGCCATCATACCAGCTCTAGGTGCAGACACACGCTCATGCGCTTAGGAGGATTGCAAAACAGTTGAGCCTTGGCTGCACCCCCAAATAACCCACGAGAAAAATAACAGTGTGCCCTCCTCCCCCTCCCCCCAAGGGAGCTTACACGTTGACACGTGATGTAAATGTCCTCAAGGCATATCATCCTGAGTTCCTGGCGAGAGGCTTGGAACATCTGCTGAAGGAGTGCCTCTCATCATCGCGTATGCTTTGGGTTTGTTAACGTTGCGGCTACCTAGTGGGGTCCCCGTATGCATACGTATAAAGTATAAACACGAATTTGTGCATATACCTTCACAAGACAAATGAAGGATTTGTCACAAACTTTCCTCTGTACCATGGCTTGTGCTATCATGCTCTGGAGGATGTGGAGGAACCTCACCTAAAACTGCTATACGCCCTTCTCCCCCAAGACGACGACAACAAACCTCTCTGAATGATGTTGATAGTTACGAGGCCGGCATTGCTTTGAGCAGCATGCACTGAGTCTCTTGCCGCGACCCTTCTTTGCGAACCCTGCTCATGAGTGCGCTCTCTCATGATCTTTGAGGAGTTTTGGGC